TCTCTCTCTCTCTCTCTCTCTCTCTCTCTCTCTTTTTTTTTTTTTGCGCGTAAGAGCGCGCGTTCGCACATGCTCGCTGTAGCTTCACCCTTCGCGAATTCACAATACTGGTATTTCTTGAGAACCTAGGGGCTAATAACATTTTAAAAATCAGCTTATTGAGCACGACAATGCTACACCGATCTCCCTGAGAAAATATAAATTTTAATATTGCCAGAATGAGTGCCTGTGTTTGTCTGCTTGATTTACTACGTTCTGCGGTTGTTGTTTTCTTTAAATTTGTTTGTTGTTGTTGTTGGGTTGTTGTTGTTGTTGTTGTTTTTTGGGGGGGGGTAAATTTATTTTTTCTGCAAGCCATTTATAGATTATGTTCAAGAAATTCTACAGTGTAGCTTATCTATACTATGTATTTTGTGCAATGGGGGCTAGATTACCGGTTATCTAGACAGCACTGATTTTGTCGGTAAAACCTAAGTCTTGTACATAATATTATTATGTATCTCAAATCAGTTAGCGTATTGTATCTCGTCTTCCGTATCTCTGTGGCTGACAAACATTTAATCTTGTTTTTACACATAACCAAGGGGCTCTACTCTGAAATACATCACCTGAGGGTACAGTCCGTGGGTGTCTCAGTGCTCAAAGTTTTAGTTGTAATAAAATTTAGACTTTTTGCACTGACAATTGAGAGGAATTGAAGGGAGCGGCAAACTGGACCACGCCTTCAAACGACAGGGGAACGTTTCTCAACTCAGGACAGAAACAGATACCAGAGAGGTTAGAAAACTGAGGGAAAAGTGCGGCGTGATTCATCCTGCACAGTCGTATAGCAGCAGATTTTGTAGCATCGACTTCTCACAGCACTGAGAGTGAGATGGGCGTTAACCACACCCTTATTTACTGACTTCTAACCCCTCTCCTGACCTTCAACCCATATTTATGGCCTATCTATTGAATGGATATGGGGTTAAGTGGAAAAAGAGGGGAGAGAGGGTGGAGTTTTCCAGGAGTGCAGAGCCCGGTGATCTTGTCTTATTATACTTTTAGCACGTTAAATTCTTCAACTGAGGACTTCTGTAACGAGCGACCACTATTAAAATTCTATATCTAGATCTAGATCTATATCTAAATCTAGATTATACTCAATGGCTTCCGAAATCATGATAGAAGAACAAAAACCACTGTTATACCATCTGTTCAAGACAAAATTATGGTAGTTTGCGCATTTTAAGGCCCAGTTCAAAGTTTAGAAGGTCTGGCAGTACGTCTGGGTCGGGGATTAGTAGACTTTGGGAATTTAACGTGCTAAAGTATAAGATCACCCAGAGCCCTCCTACTCCTGGCCTGAATTGATTGATAATGTCAATGACAACTCTACAATGATAGTGTTGATTCTGAGTGTAGATCTAGGTTTAGGTTTGGACAGGACATTATGATTAGGCCTATAAAATCCATTGGATTCATTAATTAGTCTTGTAATCCTAGTGTTCAGTTGAGTTAGTTAAAGTTTCATGAGACTGAGGGGTACAATTATGGTAGGCTAGTTTAACCCACTCAGTACCATAACGGCCGTAGCCGGCCGCTTGCGTTTCATAAACCTAGTACCATTACGGCCGTAGCCGGCCGCGCTCTAGTAGCGTTGTTTCTAGGGAAGTGTACACGCTTGGTAGCCATCGTATTTAACCCGCATTTCGACCAATTAGAAAATAGATAATCATTCTCTCCTTGAGAGCAGTGGGGACATAACTCTGGAAATTTTAGTTGGACTAATTTCAATGTAAACAAACCAGTTCACACGGGTCGCGCAAGCTAAGATCGAGCGTTCTTCGCAAGCCACCGGCATCGCGTTCAGACTGATTTAGGCGAACTTTTGGATAATTTTAATGAAAATAACTGCTGGGGGAGAAAACCCACAGAATGGTAGCAATTTAAGTGAAAGTGACATTGATGGTGATCTAATTGTGCCTTTGGGGGGTGGTTCGGACAATGAGAATGAGGTCAATGAGGAGCATGACTAGATCTAGATCTAGATCTACAACTCGGCTGATTTTATCTTCAATTATGAAATACAGTCAACACACACAGTAAACAAGTAATTTATAAATTAAAATATATTCAATTGTGAAGAACTTGTTTCAAGATTTTTTTAAATCATTGGATTGGTTATTTTATAATGATTTTTAAAATATACCCACTACATCACAAACACGGATTTATTCCCCTTTGCGTGGTCCTGAGCCATCTTCCCACTGGAAATCCAGTGGTATTAGAGTGGGTTAATAAACAATTTTATAATAATTTAAACGATCACACTTCTGATGTTATAATTCTTGATCTTGATACCCATGTTACTCATGCGTGCAGCATATATATTTATGTCTGATTATGAACATATTCTTGATATCTTATTTTTGCAGTATTTCTTGAATTCTTTGTACAGATCAGTGAGGGGCAGTACTGTCGATGGCGTCTCGAGGCAAGCAGGAGACGGGTAAACTCCGACAGAATTTGGAGGAGCAGTTGGACCGACTCGTGCAACAGCTGAGTGACTTAGAGGAGTGCAAGTGAGTTCTTAGATGTGGGAGAATTAAAAATAAAAAATGAAGTTCATCAAATTGCCGCGAGATCAAGTAACAGGACTGTTGTCTTGACTACCGTCTTTACTAACAGTTTTATGTACCTGTTTGAGCATGATAGCAAATTGTTCCTGTATAATTTGGCCTCTTTAAGGCCCAGATGCATCCATTTTATAGCAATCTGTCTTTTTTGTGTCTACACTAACCACATGCACAGCTGTGCCCTTTTTTAATGTCACTAACACCATCTGGTGCTCTCACGTATGTCTAGATCCATCCGCTGTGCAGCATGTCTTTGTAGAGGTACGTGGTGGAGAAAAAAAAGTGTGACTTGCATCCCTGTCACCATCTAACAAGAAGCTACCTGCATATGGCAGGTTTCACAATTTTATGTGCACTGAGGTGGTGAGATGTTTCTGTGCCTATGTATATATATATATATCTCTTCTCTTCCTTAAATATCCCCAGAGTCGGCTGTACTGCCTATAGCTTTTTCTTCACTATCTCAGTAACCATATATAACCATAATAATGATAAGCCCATTCCACACTTCTCAGCTGTGTAGGATCGTTTTGCCACCCTTCATGATATTCAAACCAACTGAACTACATTCAAATGAGCACTAAAAATGTTTGGCTTAGATAGGGGCGAACCTTTAGATTCTCCTGTAACCTGATACTCTAAAAAATGATGGGTGTGTTTGTTTTTCCATTGTGCACACAGAGTGATTTGAATGAAACATTGCAGGTGGTTGGCGGGTGCTCTGTTGTGGTTTGCTCCTTCTTTCCTATCAAACATCTATCGTCCTTATCTCTCCTCCTTCTTTTTGTGTTTGTTACTCTCTTGTAACACCTGTAATTTTCAGTACTTATTATAAGTCATATGACCTTATTGTGTTGCAAGTGCCGTAAAACTGACTATCTTACTAAAAAAAAAAACAGAATGAGACATTTATTTGTGAGGAAAAAATTGGACAGGCTTTTCTGACTTTTCAAGATGAGCTGTTTGACATACAGTCTTGATGTTCTAGAAAAGGGTGCTGCCAGTGCAAAAGAAACATAGCAATTCAGTTGGGGCTTGGAATATTGTTCAAAGTATTCGCGAATATCAGTTTTGCGTGTTCGAGAGTTATAAATCTGTATTTAAATATAATGAGATGAATAACTGTGTTTGTGTTGTTCCAGGGCTGATCTGGAGCCAGAGGAGTATGAAGAGACCAAGAGTGAGACGGTGGAACAGCTGAAGGAATTCCAGGAAAACCTCAACAGGATGCTGGAGGGGAACCTCAGTCTGGTGGACGAACTCAATGCCATGCAGCTGGTGAGCCGAGTTGTTTAGAGTGACTTTTGTACATAGTGCACTCTGCCAGTTGAATTTATTTGGTTTAGTCTGGGCAAACCAGATTTTCCTTCGTGGGGGTAAAGCTACCAGGTTGGAACAATTCAACAGAATTCGACCAACCTTCAAAATCAAACATGAGTTTGTTTTTCAAGGTTGCTAGTCGAACCGATCATAAATGTCAAATGTGAACAGCTCATCACAAAGCTTGTAGCCTAGGATGAGCCACAATGTCAGGGTCATTTTTTTGTAATGCAACAGTTTGGTAATGGACTGTGTAGATTTGGGGAGGCTGATACTGATAGATTTTATAGATATATCCTATATATCTAAAAAGCTATGACATTTTCTGTGTCTGTGGGATTCAAGAAACTCTCAACACAGAAACGGCAATGTCGTGAAGTGAACACTTGAAGTTGAACCCTTTGTTGAAGGAAAAGGCTTTATTATGAATGGTAATGGTAAGTTGTGTGTGCCATCTAACACCATCTGGTGCTCTCATAACACGCCGCGATCCGTTCATCAAACGGTGAAAGTTTTCTGTTTCTTACTTATGGGCTGAATCTGATGCGACAGTGGAGAGGCGTATGTCATTTCTTCTAATTTCTTCAAGGCAAGGTATCTTGAGTGGAAGATTTTTTACCTATGTTTCCGTGGATCTCCTCCCATTTGGTTCAGTTTTTATCGGAGATGAATGTTTCTTTATTGCGAGGTCGAGCCTCTTTCATGACCTTGCAGTGGATGGTTGGTGGGTGCACTGGTGGGGTTTGTCTTTCTTTTCTATAAAAAATGTATCATTTTTCTCCCCACCTTCTTTACTTGGTATGTCACTCTCCAGTTATACCTCTAATCTGATTTATATTGCAAGTGCTCTACTCTCTAAAAATACCTCTATGCCTATTTTATCTTGCTAGTGCTGTAAAACTTTTACTAAAGCAAGCTAAATTAAATAACCTCAGTGTTGAAAGACACTTTAAACCTATACCATACAATCCAGTAGTGCACTTTGGACACACATGTACTTTTATCTTTTACTTTTACAGGCTATACAAGCTGCCATCAGTGACGCCTTCAAGACACCAGAAGTCATTCGTCTCTTTGCTAAGAAACAGCCTGGGCAGTTGAGGACAAGACTGGCTGATGTACGGGTTATGTATAACCACTGACATAGTTTTTTCAGACCTGTCCATGAAACATTTTTATTTTAATACGTTGTACAGTCTGTTGGATTAAAGGCACTCATGAAATTATGAGAACAAAGGAGATTATACGGGTTCTATAGCGATGTATTGTTTTGCCCATAGTTTTACAGAGGTTTTTAACTTAATGTCTATGGCTAGATGAACCTTTTGGGTTTGATGGCCATTTTACTTCTTTTTTTATCAGTTTTTTTAAATCCAATCAAATCAGTATCCTTAAACTCTATAGTTGTCTCTCCATAGCCTGTGTATCCTAACTAGAACCCATAACCCCCTACCCGACCCCCCCCCCCCCCCCCCCCTCAGATTGTCTTCGACAGGTGGCCATTAGAGCAGGTTCGACTTGTACAAAAAAATGTGTGTGTGCGCGTAGGGGGAGCAGGGGGGCTGAGGGGGTAATATGTTGGCTTATTTTTTAATGACCCGTTTGTCGGGTGACAATATGTGGCCTTCTTGGGCGATTTCCACTCTGCCGGTACTAGAAATACCATAGTCGGGATTCACATCATAAAGGGTCTGATGATAAGACTTTGCTCAGTCCATTGTATTGCTTTCTTTTCCTCCTCACGCTGCTCAGATCTCCCGAGATGAGAAGATCGGCAAGCTGCCCAAGGAACTGGCCATCCAGCAGTCTGTGGAAATCCTGACGGCCCTGAAAAAACTCGGGGAGCAGCTGACGGCGCCGGAGACAGCCTATCTGGAGCAGCATTCGTCCGGCAGTCTGCGACAGTTTGAGAAAGTCTCTGCCGATCTCGGTATGTGGGGGCCAGAGGTTTTTGGGGTTTTTTGGTTTTTGTTTTGTTTTTAAAATCCCTGTGTGGGTGGTTGGCGGATGCTCTGGTGTGGTTTGCTTCTTCTTTCCTATCAAACGTCTATCGTCCTTATCTCCCTTTCCTTTTTTTATGTTTGTTACTCTCTTGTAACACCTATAATCTTCTGGCGCTCATATGACCTTATGCAGTTGCGAGCGCAGTAAGACCTCTACTAAAACTAAAATCCCTGTGTTCTTATCTTGTCATATTTATAAATGACTGAGAGATGTTTGAGGGTGTGCTGGTATACCGCCACCTAAATGAAGTAAATTGTGTTGATGGGGTGTGAAAACACTTACACATGGTGTCAAGGTTGGGGGGGGCAAGGGGTAGTAGAAGTACAGTATTCTCAGCTTCCCTGGAAGCATACAGTGCCAGTATGCCTATTAAGCACTCAAACATTAACAGACTGACCAGATCTTTCGCTGTCTTTAGACATTCCAACCAGGGTGAAGTGAAGAAAATTTGTGTTTTATTTAATGAAGTGCCTTTCCCAAGGGCATAACCTCAGGCCCCTGACAGGGTTTGAACCCATTACCTTTCAGTTGAGAGCCCAACAGCCTCACTGTTAGACCACTGATTAGTAGTAGTCACAGAGTTAACCGCTGCCTCATTTCAGTTCTTTTCCTTCCGTGGCTCATTCAAACATCTATTGTCCATATATGTCTCTCCTCCTTCTTTTCATAGTCATAGTGCATGTAGGAGACCTCTAAACTACGACATTTATATGACCTGTTTTTGTTTTGTTTTGCCAGTGTCGTATTACTGACCAAAACTAGTACAAAAACTTGAGTAATTTTATGCCCGGCATTCACAGCCCAGAACTCTGCTCATGGAGGAATGTTTTTGTTTTATCGCAGGTTCTGGGGAGAAGGTTTTGGCAGTTGCTGGCTCTCAAGTGGAACAGGCCAACAAGTAACGACAGTCTTGGAGGCCTCTCTGACTCTCTACGTGCCTGGAGTCTCCTTCTCCTAACGGAGTGGCTGTCTGGTACAACGGTCGGTCTTTTCGTCAAGCGATTCAACAGGGCTTTCAGTCGAGTGTGTCATTATTGTCTGCTTTTGGTCTTAGAACTCAGTTCAGGTAGACGCTTGGGATTTTGTCTGGTAAGATTTATTGCAGTAATAAAGTGTGTGAACGATTTATTTTACGATCTCATGTCATGGATATAATGTATCAGGATGTTCAGAGTCAAAGGTTTCACCAGTTGACAATAGTGTAAGCGAGAAGGAACCTTTTTTGACTTCTGATTTTGGTGCTCAAGCACACACCCTTGTGATTCAATGTGATGAACTGTGCTCCGAACTGAACCAAAATTTATATATTTTTTCTAGTTTGCTGCTTTGGAATTGGAACTAGCGGTAGGTAGGGGCCTACATCAACAAATGTTGTTCCTTATGAATTGCATCACATTTTTGGTTTTCATTGAGACAAGTTGGACTTTTTAGAGCAAGTCGTTTCCTGTTTACACAGTGCAGAAGGGTGCACATTTCTTGTCATCATCAATGTGATCAGGGTTTGTTTGTCTTCTGAGAGCTTACCATGGAGAATGCCTCACTTTTTACATGCTTGCTGTAATTCGAACTTTATATACCAGAATTGTATGCACAGTTGTTTGAATTTGATATTGTGTAGTTGTTAATTATGCAGTGCTGAATTTATATGAAGGCAAGTGGTTTTCTTTATGAAACATGAAATAATCAACGCTATACCACACAGAGTAGATTGGGTTGGGAGTTGGGTTTTTTTTCCCCGTTTCTGGCACACAGCTCGTAAATTCAAAGAAGTTTCTGCTGTTGCCAGTATTTCTGTTAGACTTTTTAACCATTTGTTGTTAACTTTATGCATAATACTCTAAGTACCTGTCCTGAATCCTGAAGTTTTTCATCTGATTTTCATAATGTGGAGCTGTTGTGCATGGCCTAGTCAGTGACCCAAGAACTCCGGAGGGTTTTCTCCTTTGGGTTGCACTGGCGACAGAGCTTTTAGTTTTATGTTTGCCATCAGCTGAGGTTCAGGAAATAATTGTTGCGTCTTCAGAGCAGATACCTTGGAAGGTGAACAAAATAATACACAAAGCACACGCTTTGACAGGAAAGTTATATTCTCTGGAACTGTGAGGTTTTCGAATTTTCAAATTTTTTTTCTTTTTTTTAAAACTTAGATATTTGTATCCTCAGGGACAGAGACAGAAATGTTTTGAGTATTTGGACTTAATCTGTCCACATCGTTTTACGCAAGAAAAATTATGAAATTATTCGAACTGAGCCCAAAAATGTGAAATTATGCAATTCTGTTAATTTTAATTTTAACAAAGAATGATAAAGGAAAATAATAAGAAATTTTGCAAAAAATGATCAAATTTTGTTCAATTATGCGGGGTGCATAAAACCATGGGGACAGCTTAATTTAGTTCTAGGATTCAGAATCCTAACCTAATGTGAATGTTCATGATATTTTTCACCTAAGAACTCCATGGCTTGTAGTAAGTCTTTAATAGTCTTATGCAGTAATTTTTGTTTCTGCTATTTTTGCCACTGTTGCTGAAGAAATGGTTTATTAGAGGTGTACAGAAGTGCCCTCTGTCTTGATCAGCCTTATTCTCACCTTGACGACAACGCGCTTAATAGGTATTTCCATTTTACCCTTTCACTTTCAGTAAAATGTATGTTATTTATGGGGAAACTTGTGATTTTGCTTTCGGTTGAATACAGAGTGCTGTAGAAAAGCTTATAATGTTTCAGTTGAATGACACTTGTTTACACACAGACAAGGAGTTTACACACAGACAAGGAAAGAAAATAAGCAAAGTTTGTGGGGACATACAATTCATTTTTTAAAAAGTTTTTTTCCTCGAATCCATTTATCATGATGAGACAATCGGGGACCATGTTTGGGGTACATAATCATGAATTCATTGGATTGTGTTCTTTGTTATTCACCAAGAGCGAGGCATCGTGGTGTAGTCAGGCGCTCGTCAAAATATTAACTTTGAGCTATCGACATTTTTCCACGTGTTTGGCAATTTTTGTTGAATTTTTGTTTTTTGGCTCAACCCCTTTTATGTCCATTTACAACCTAACTTCTGTGCAGATTTTACTGAAAAACATTGATTAAAAGCACTCAAAATGTAAATATTTTCAGTTTCCAAGGACTCTCAAGTTTTGGAAGTCGGCAAACTTTGGGATGCCCAAAAACTGACGAGCGCCTGATTCAATGGGGTTGTGACACACATATTCAGTCAACCGTGGATATTTGAATTCATTTGATTTTGAAAATGATTTTAGTTTTAGTGTGTTACGTTTTTACTTGCAGCTGCTCAGTTACTTATTCCTATGTTTCAAGTAAATGAATGGAGGATTCCTCATGTTCACAGCTGTCAGGATGAGACTGCTTGATTCCTCATGTTCACAGCTGTCAGGATGAGACTGCTTGATTCCTCATGTTCAGAGCTGTCAGGATGAGACTGCTTGGGTTTTTGACCAACTTCTGGGGTGTAAATGTTGGAAAATGTTTTGTCATATAATACGCCTCAGTGGATTTGTTTGTGCACTAGTCTGACCAGATGATGTGTGAATGTGTAAGTGTAGAGATTATATTATAATTGCCTTTTCCCTCCTCTACCTTCCACACATCAAAATTTGTTGTTTTATGAATATAGACGCAGACACACACTCATACGCATTTTTAAAAAATGTCTTTGAATAGCTGACATCCACATTGTAAAAAGTATTTAAATAACTTGTACTGTCTCTAAGCAATTCGTGTCTGAATCGTCATCAGAATTAATTTAACCTGTTTGTTCTCGTTCATTCGGCCTCGAAGGTTTTGTCTACAGGTTCATGGATTTTCAGAGGAAGAGTACAGGGGGGAAAATGGCAGTGGTCACAAGTTTCAATTTTTTGCATTTGTCTTGTTTGATCTAGTTTGGCTGGTTTTATTTTGATCAGTAATGAGTAATGGCTGTAGTCGACTACTAGTGACATCATCATATTTGCAATATTATTCACATTTGTAGTGACATCATCATAATTTGCAATACTATTCATATTTGGACAGAACAGCAGGTACTACCTCTGAATGACAAAGTTTTATCTGCTCAGTACCTCTAGTTTTGAGAAATGTGACGAAGATTTTGAGTTTCACTTCATATTCATGACAAGCTTTTTCAAATGCATTTATTTGAATATCTTGATGACGACTCCGAATAATCTTACGATTCAGATAGAGCAGATAGATCATTTTGTTTTTAACCTCATGTTCTTAGTAACTCAAAACGGACGATTAGAAATGTCAAATATAATTTTGTAATTCTGAGGTACCGAATAGTCTATATATAATTATATATATGAACACATGAAAGAAAGGCAGCAGTCTTCTATACTTTGCCTCTATGACTAACGCTGTTTCCCTCCCCTCTTGAGGTCTTCCAATTGTTTTCTAGATACTCAACTTGAATATTTCCTGATTTCGACATACTCAACATGAAGAATTCCTACATGTTTTTGTTGCTGTCTATTTAGTTCCTAAACGTACATTTTCTTGAACAGACCGGGTGTTTTTTGGTTTTGTTGCTCCTTTACCATGGCTAAAACAGCACCTGGACATGGATGGCTGGTGCCGCTATAAATAAATCATTGATGGTCTGCTCCTTGACCTCTTATTCAAGAAGTAATATGACATGATATTTTAGGTCTTTTTCGTGCCTCTCTGTTTACAACAGTGCAGGTGAAAATAATGGACAGTTCCTCTTGTGTGCGAATCATCTGCTGGCCATGATGCTGATAGAGCCACGAATACATGTACAATAAATTGTGATATGCTCATTTCATCATAATTAAGTTGTGCATTTGTCGCTCGTTAGCTTATAAACACCCAGTGCATGTGTGAGGCATCGTGGTGACATAAGGTGCTCGTCAAAATAACGAAATTGGTGACTCAGTCATTTTCTCTCCAGTTTGGCAATTTTTATAAATTTTTTGTTTTTTTATTCAACCCTTTTATGTCCAAATAAAAACACATTTTCGTGTGAATTTTATTGAAAAACGATTAAAAGCCCAAAAGCTCAAGATAGACGGGTATTTTTTTCCTCGAAAGCAAGATAATTGAACAAGCTGTTAGATGATATCAATAACTCCACATTTCTAAAAATTGACGAGCGCCTGATTCCTCCGCACGGTGACACAAATCTTCACTGTGCTAGCAAAATAGCGTAACTCAAGAGTTATGCCAAAATGCAACTAGCCTTTTATTTCGTTTGATGGTACTGTATCAGACTATCTCTACCTTTTGGTAAAACCAAAGAACAAAAATATACTGGCAGTCACAAGAGAGACATACTATTATATTATTAGATGATAAATAGTCCAGTAGAACAGGTTTTTTTTTTTTTCATTTAAATTATCTATTAAAAAAATAAAACAAATTTTAAGCAGGAAATATGAGATGTGCCATTTTGCCAATACAGTGACTATATACACAACTGAACCCTTAGGTCTACTGGAATTAGTTTTTCATTGGTGCTTTTAAAACAAGCTTGCCCAACGACGCAGTTTGGCATCTCTTTTTTCCCTCCCTGTATAATAGATCTAACCGTTTTACTAATTTAAAGTACTGGTACCCAGACTCTTCATTCAGAATCAGATTTGGATTTTGTGTCAGTGTCAGGTCGTGTAGCCAAGTGTGTCGTGCACATAGCTGAAATAATAACTCTCTTCTCATCCGTCAAGTTTGATGTATTTTTTAATGAGATATGGTATCTCAGAGTAGAGCAGCTATTTGAATAAACTGTTGATTGTGGAGAATAATTAATGTTTACTTTACAATGTATTAAGGGTTCTGAGCATTGGGGGGGGGGGGTGTAAGAAGGAGCCAAGGAGAAGAGCAGTTGGGTTCACGAACTTGACCAGCAGATCAAGGTTGAGGGTTCGAACCGGAGAGGGGTCTTTTTTCCTCATCCTGGAATATTTCCCCCAAGCCTGACATCTTGACAGGGGACCTGCGTTCATCGTTCAGAATGTTTGTTTTCAATGTTTAACTTCCATTCGTTGATAATTTCATTTTATGAGGATTTGTTAAAACCAATGTCTGAGGCAGGGTGTGTGGTCAAGTCTGAAATTTAAAAAAGCCCGACAGTTTGACGTCTGAATCAAGTACATGTGTATCCCGATAACTTTGTGCAATACACAATACATCCTGTCCTTGTTCTAACACTGTGGTGTACACTTCCTGATTTCTACAAGTAAATCTCTCATGCCATTACCTCACACAAATCTCAAGTCATGACAGGATGGCTAAATAGAAACATAACTTTAGTTTGGAAAAAGTTTTACAGTACCGGTACAGTGCTTGCAACTGCAAACGGTGATCTACCTTTGGTGGCATGTGAACAATTAGCCTACCGTTACTTTTGGTAAAGTCATTCCACTGGAGGCAGCACGCATCCTGAGTTTTGCACTCTCAGGACGTAACATTTTGGGCTACACCACAGAAGAATATTAAAAATGAAAAAGTCATGGAGACAAACATTTGCAATAGAAAAACACAAGTTTTTGATAGTTTTGTTTGGTTTTTTATTTTTCAAATTTATTAACAAATCATAGAAAAACTTGTTCATATATGTCAACAATCAACAAAATAATTTTAAAAAACATGACATCTCTGACAATCAAAGGAAACAACTGGTATGTCAGACCTACAAATTATGCAGTGAAATGGTCAACAGAATTTCTGTACCGAACAAAAAGTCATAGGCCATAACCACTGTTTGCACACACAATTATTAGTGGCAAGGAATGTGCTGCTCCTTTCAAACATCGCTGCAACATCCTCAGCTTTTCTTCCACTCACGGCAGATACACAACACACATACAACCATGTAACTTTTTCAAGAATTTTTTTAAAAACATGGTCTCCAGGAATTTTTTCATTAGGAACTGCTGCAGATGAGAATTTTTTTTCTTTAATGGAAAACAAATGGAAATTATATGATACAGAAAAAAAAATGTCAACACAAGATTATGAAGTGGATTACTTTGTTTTGGTTTGGAAAATACAACACATGAGGTAGACAAAACATTAAAGTTATTATTTAAAAAATACACTTTTGAGGGATGTAAAAGATCCCCATTAAAAAAAGACTGAACACATTTTGGATAATCAAAAATTTGTGTAATAGGAAGCAAATTAACATAATATACAAGGCTACAGAAGGAAATCCCTGAGTCTATTTTTATCATTACCAACACAGAAATAAACAAGGAGAAATGTGCATATGCGCCTATACAATTAATGCACATCAACTGAAAAAATAAACCTAACTGATCTGCCAGGTTCAACGTAACTGATGACACTA